AGAGGAATAGTGTGCTCATTCCAGGTAACCCTTTGATAAAAGGGGAGCACTGCTCAACACTACCACGAGAAAAGCCCATGGAGTGAGGAATCCAACTCCTCAGAGAGAATTAAACGCTCGAAAGAAAGCACCATGCTCACAATAACCCTCAATGGTGAGGGGAGCGATACTTCTAGAGTGTGTCGACAGAGACACACTAGATGAGTGGAGCCCAAGGTAGCAGGGTCTAAACCAACTCAGAGAAAGGGAACGAGGTTAATAATGCGGATGCTGTTCGGGCTTAGACCTGGACCATCGTGAAATGAAGGACTGAAGGCCGCTGAGCGCGCCTTTGCCTCCCTGAACTTCTCGACCACCATCTCAACGGAGGTACCAAAAAGTTCAGAGGGCGAATCCGGGGCATCGAGAAGAAAGCCCCTTTCTTTCCTCCAGATGACTGCCCAGCTTCTTCGCCCTCCTCAGACATTTCCTGCTCTTCCTGGGCTGAACCCAGCAGAGCACTAGCCCCTGGATCAGAAGATGTTAAAGAAATAACATCATCCTCCAGCAGCTCATGCGACCCCTAGAGGACGCAGTTCGAAGTTCCCATGAAAGGGAACTTTCAATTCTTAATGCACCTCTACAGGTCAAAAATACGGGAAAACAAATGAGTATGTTCTAGATTTAGTAATTTCTTTATACTTCAAATATGACTTATTTTTAAAGGTGTTATGTGATCAGGCCTGACTGTTGTTTTTGTGTGAACAGATGAACATGCTCCTGCGCCTGAAAGAGGCAGCCAGCTGCTCCAGCCCGCAGAGCTACGACAGCGACTCCAATAGTAACAGTCACCATGATGACATCCTGGACTCTTCGCTGGAGTCCACGTTATGATCCAGCCTGATCCGTGAACTCTAATCAAGTCATTACATCACATCTACGGGTGCTGGTAACCCACTTCATATATAAATATATATAGAGAGAGAAATATATATGCGCCAAAACTCAACGGTACTTCAGTGTGATTTTTATATTTATTTTACAACAACAAAATCAGAAGAAAGTGCTTTGTCCCCATTTTTACCTCAAAAGTAGAAGTGCGGTCACATTAGCAAAATTTTATGGACAAAAAGGGTTAATTGTCTGTCGTCAATAATGTAGCGATGTGTGAAACAGAGCTCACACAAGTCACTTTCAAACCAAACGGTGAATCAGAGTGACCAACCTGCATCTGCTGCGAAATCTGCGTAGATCAATTTTCCGCCATCACACGGAATTCCCGATTACATGGATTTCACATACAAAAATTTGCCAAACTTCGGTAAATGTGACCGCACCTTAACTGTTGGAGATACTTTCGCACCCAATGCAATGCTCGTTTGTCTTACCCTCTACTGGTGAAACGGAGGAATTACATCCTAAACCCGAGACCAACATCTTGACGTCTTCACTCAAAAGAACATTGACTTTCCCTGTAATGATGGACTTGTTCATGACTTTACAAAACCAGCTTGGTCGGATGCTGACCATCGTTTCATGTTTTACATGATAAGGATACGGATGAAATAGCATGGTGCTACACTTATGATTTTGGATTTATTTATTGTGATGATTGGAAAAAATACCTCGTTTGCAATCTGGGATGTGCTTTTGTTTGCCTTTCTGCATTTTTTTTTTGTTACCACCCGTTCCTTAACTGCTGACCGCATGTTCCAGTGTTCTACTGTAGCACAAAGCCTCTATCTATTTTTTACACTAGATCACGCTCTGTTTTTGGTGCTGAATAGAATTTGGTGCCTTACTCTATTTTGTAAAGAAAAAACGGCACTATGTTTTATACTTCTGAAAAATGCTGATTTTATTAACTACAGGGCTCTACGCTAGTCCTTTGAATTTGCCTAAAATAAACAGCCTCACACTCATCATATCATATCAGAGGAGCAAAATGTGTGATTTAGAAAATAGGAAGTGGATAAAGGGAGCGGCAGGGCGACTGTAACCTCCATCTGTTTTGAAATTCACATTTTTTAAAGCAAAGTTGCTACACAGTTAAAGGGACATTTTACTTTCAAACATGTATGAGAAAAATTATGCTTTTTTATATGTGAAATATATATGATCACTACTGGCACAGGTCATCTTGAGGGGTTCAGCTGTAAGGCTTTGCTTGGTGCTTTAAGACCGCCTCAACACATCTTGGCTAAAGCACAGTGAGAAATTGTTCATAATTTGGTGTATGAGTATACCTCATTGACCATTTTGGCCTTTTTCGTGTACATATCTTGCATTCAATGTGAAAGAGTAAGAAACGTCCACATAGTCATTGGATTAATAATATACTGTATTTGCTGCTTTGTAATGCAAGGATGCTTCTGGAGGATTTGTACTTAAGATTTTATCTTTGATTCTCTATAAGGAATATCATTTGGATGGACAGTGAGTTTCCTTGCATGGGAAAGCATAATATATGGGGCTCTTCAGTGGTTTCACCTTTACGTTGTCAAATGCTGTTGGTATGGCGCTGCAGGGTTTTAGTTACACCGTTGCTTCCATTTCACTCTAGTGTATGATTCCTGTCAGTCATCGATCCTATGCAACATCATTGTGGATTTCAATGGAAGCCAAATATCGTAGCTCTGTAATGCTGTCAGCACTGCCAATACGTTGTGTGTACACTGTGTATATAATTTGTGAATAATTTTAGGATATGTGCCTAATTTTCTTTGATTATGATGATGATGAAGTCATTTTAAGCACAAATGCTGTATGTGATTGTTGTAACTGAAATGGGAGGGCTATAACTGAATGGATTTCATGTCACTGAATGTGTACATCGTTTCTGGCTGTAATATATTAATGTAAATATTTGACTACCCTGCAGGCTGCATTTTGATGAATAATCTTTTTCTAGCCGTTTATAACAGTGCTTGGAAATATGGAATATTTTGTGTACAGTGTCTTTTTCATCTTAACAGTCCCACGGATGGTCTGTGAAACACAGGCAGCCCATAAAGATTTACTGATCACCTTACAGTTTTAAATTATTTGTAATTCAATAAACCTAATAATTATTTATTAATTGTTTATTAGTTTGTTTTCATGACTTTATGCAAGCAGAATGATGACAAACATTATACAAAAAAATATATTCACAGCATTTTTATATCAACATGTTCCATTCAATCATAACAATAACTACAAAAAAAAGAGTATTACAATTAAAAAAACTTACAATTCATTAATGATTTTAACTATTTAAAACACAACAACCAATTTTAGTTTTTAGTCTAATGTATGCATATTGACTAAAATATGATTCTTATGCTAATGTTTCAACCCTAAGCATGTACAATGAAATAAACATTTAGTAAGTGATATTTTGTTACATTCAAGGATTGATAGACAATATTTAGAGAACATCTGTCATTCTACATTTTCTTAAGATACTTACAATACAACAAATAAACAACACAGACTAGTGTACATGAATTCGCTATACTTGCAAGAGTTTATATGAGCTTTGGGATCATTCTAATAAAGGCTAGAAATAATGTTAAATGTTTTTTCATATTAAACAATTTCAATATGGTGAAATAAAACACACCTAAAATGAAGCTTTAAGTACTAACCAAATCACAGCACAATTAAAATAACTCTAAGGATCTAGAAAGCAGGTTAATGTACTGTATCTCAAAGTGTGAAACAGATAGAAGATGCAGTTTCAATTATGGTTGGTTTGACCTCTAATGGTGATGGTTGAGGTGATGAAGTCAAAATCTCCTGGATAGCTTCAATTCCAACTTGAGCAAATGCATAGTTAAATCTACCGCAGTAAAGATAGTTTGCGGTTTGATATTCAAATTTCTTTTGTCTATAAATACGCAGCGTGCTGTCATAGACATGCAAATAATACCGAATATCATTCTCCATGATTTGTGAATTCAGGTGACGCTGTCCTTAGGGCCGAAATCATTTTTTTTTCGTAGCGACTCTTAATTGTATAATGCCTATAGCTCCAAAAGTTGGACACTTAGAGGAATGAAACCGTTATTCACAGGAACAGCACCGAATGACATTATTATAGGCTACAAAAAACGGGGGGCAGAGGAAAGATAAACACTGCCACGCGATAAAATGCGATTGTGAACGTTTTCACAAATCGAGCTCGATCTAAAGCAATGTTTTTGTATTCCAGCAGTCTGCGTGTTTATTGGTAATAGACGTTAAACATGAAGAATGCCTTTCTTTCACATTCCTTACTAGCAGACTTGCCAAGGGGTTAACGGACAAGAGCTTTGATGTGAAAAAATTCACAGATCAAGCTGGTGAATATGACACCGGTTTCATTCCTCTAAGTGTCCAACTTTTGGAGCTATAGGCATTATAAAATTAAGAGTCGCTACGAAAAAAAACCTGATTTCGGCCCGAAGGACAGCGTCACCTGAATTCACAAATCATGGAGAATGATATTCGGTATTATTTGCATGTCTATGACAGCGCGCTGCGTATTTATAGCCAAAAGAAATCTGAATATCAAACCGCAAACTATCTTTACTGCGGTGTTAACCCTTTGCTTAAAGCAGCACTATGTAACTTTTCTGTGTTCAAAATTTGCGAAATGTATATAATGAGCGAGTACATAATGTTTTTGTCTTATCCCGAATCACTACGGTACACTTATAATAAGTACTTATATTTGGACTATTGTAGCCTGGTCGGGTCGTCACCGCTGCGGAGTAACACATACCTGCGTGAATCGCCATAGACGTAAACTTAGAGAAGTAGCTCCGGTTGGAATGTTCTTCCGCGGGATGCGTACAGTTCTGTTTATTAACCGCTAGAGCGCCAAAAGTTACATAGTGCTGCTTTAATCATTTTCTTTGTTTTGTGCATATTTAGCAATTCCATACCAGCGATATGTATCTGTTGGGTTTCTTTCCAGACCATTTTCACCTAGAAAGAACTGCGCATATGGAAATCTGATAGGATCTACTAAATACTGTCTGTGTTTAAGTGTGTTTACCCAATAGGGTTCATCAACAAACATGAGGTAATTCCGAGGAGCACGTTAAAATGGTTTGCGAAAACACTTGGCAACCCAATTTAAAAAAATTCAAATACAACTTTTTTCCCTCTTCTTTCAGAAAGGCAGGTGCTGTGTTATCGATTTTGTCATCACACGTCATCCTTACTCCTTTTGATTTTGGGTCAAAGCGATCAATTTGATCACACCTGGGTAAATACCAGATAATTTCTTTACCCCTGAGATGCATTTTCTGAATTGCAAGTTTCAGATCATTTAAGCAAGAATCATCATAGCTTTCGAAGCTTTCGACATTCAGAAACCACCCTTCGAAGTTTAATCGGTGGGCAATGTCCACTAGTTTCTGTAGGTTCTCCAGTTTTGCCAGTTCTTCCTTGTCTTTCTTGGCTCCCCCATGGGCCAAAGTTGGCAAAAAAAAACAGTGCCAAATATGGCGACCCCATTCCTGTGTGCCTGATCAATCCAGGCCGGATCCGGGGCAAGCACTGCTCCTTCACGACGTGACCCACCAAAGAAGACAAACTCTTTGATATACTGCCAGTAATCCAATCTTATTCTCGTTTCCTCTGTAATGACCTGAGGAACTCTTTCACAGGTTGGCCTCGCTCTGAATATTAAGGTGAAGTCTTGGTGTGTGCTTTCATGTTTTTCTCTTGACCACTCATAAGTAAAACCATCAGTTTGAAGGGGTTCTGTTGAAGGACGCAAGTAATCATCAGAAAAAATCTGACCCTCAGAATAATATTTCAGGTCTGGGAAGTCATTAACCGCATTCTTTGGTTTGTTTAAAAACCAAGTGTATGTTTTAAATGTAGGATCGTTTTCTTTGTCCTTGTGTTTTTTTAGAGCAGGTTTCTCAACATAAACCACTTTTAGTGCCTCTTGATCTGTGACTTGATGTTTGTTCTGTACCAGTAGGTAGTTTAAATCGCGCACGAAATGAGGCCAGTAGAGTTGAGCCACAATGAAGTATGGGTGAGCAGGAGGTTTGCCATCTCTGCTCCAGCTATATGCAGATGTCCCCTGGAATTCACTAGCACAGTTCCCGTTTATTTTGGCATCTTGAAATCATTTCAGAAGGGCAGGATCTTCGCTGGCTCTGAAATCACCTTTAAATTCATGAACGAGACCCCCGATTGTAGTAGTCTTTTTTAATTGTACGGCGTAATAGTCCTTTCCACTGTATTTACCCTGTGCACGAAAAATGTACCAGCGATAACAGTTTTGCCCCATTCTCTCCCACTCTGGAAATATGTAATCATCACTCTTGTTTCTAAATATTTAATTTCTCTCTAAATAGTTAAACCTGAAGCAATCAACTTCAGACAGCAATTGTACATCCCATGAAAAAATATACCCGTCTGGTTTTGGAGGCTCTGTGCCTTGATTAATACTATCCATCACTTTTTTAGCTCTTTCAAGGCCGATTATATCTATGCTTTCTTCTGTGAAATACCGGTTTACACAACGGATGATCTCTGTGAGCTCACGGCTGTCACACTTTATGAACTCAGCTGATGTACGTTGCTCCCCTTTTAGATATTGAATGGCATTGTGGAAAGCTTGGAGAGCCTCTTCATCAGAAACATTGTAATGTTTGTTTCGAAACATGAAAGTCTGAGCTGCAAGTAGGACCACATCATGGGATAATGCTGAGATGTCACAATCATCGCGTGATTCTGCAGCTTTCCGATAATCTAGATTTCCTTTTTTAGCTTCGAGCAATTCATTTACAATTCGATGTGGAGATGTATAAACAGACTCATAATAGTTCCAATTTTTCAATGTGGGATGAGATTTCTTGTAGTCAATAACAGCCTGGATTTGTTCCTTTGCAGTACCACGTAAGCTCAAACCATGAGCAAGTGAATTCTCATCACAGAATGCTAATGATGGACGAAGTGTTAGATTCAGCATGTCAGAAACGCATTTTTTGAACTCTGCAACCCGGATTTGAGCTTCTGATAATTTCACGTTTGGGTCTAAATACTTCATGACAATAGCCAAGTCCAAGAATGACACTGGCTCGTTGTTTTCTGCCATTCTGGATATCTTCTTAAATGCTTATATACCTATGAATAAAAAATGCATTTGCATTAAGTTACATAGAAGAAGACATGATGCTTTCAAGGTAAATACAAGAATTGTATATTAAAATCCACTTTTGTTAGGTTAAAACTTTGCATATGATACTAGCATCTGCTTGTGCAGTTGGGTTTGTGTGATTTTTCAGCCAGTGGTAGACAAAATGTGAGTAGTTACTTACTGTCGCAATCAGGAAAGTGCACGGGGGTGGATACCGTGGCCCAAGCTACTGCTCTTTTTACCTTTATCAGGTCCCTCTCTGGGGAAAATAAGTACATTTCCATTCATTCCTGTAGCAGATGCTTTTATGCAGCAACTTATAAGAGGAAGCTATCCTTTTTAAAATGAGCAAATATATTACAATGCTATTTAAATCTAAATGTCAGCTTGGAAAGAATAATAATAAGAATTATTATTATTATACATTGACAGTATAAAGTTTAATCCTGTACATATTTTTACACACTAAATTGTACAGTTACTTGCAAAACAAAGAGCAAGGAATCATCAATAAATAAGTACTGAAATAGTATATTAATATTGCTTACCAAAAAGCTGTCTTCTTTTATGTTGAAATATGAAGGAAACATTGGCTTGCTTTTAGCCTAAAATAGACAGTAGCCTTTCTGTTCCAGCGAACCACACCACAAAAACCACAAGACATCGTCTTCACCTATTTAACTTATTCAGTAGAGTGGGAGGGGAAAGGGTGTGGATGTGCAGTTTTTTTCTCAATATCAACGTATACGGTTTAGTGTGTTTTAAATGTGCTAAAGGAACATATTCATCTGTTAGAGGCCAAAGCAGAAATGTAAGGTTACATATCAGAAATTCAAATCTGTCGACATCAGGAGGAATGTGTAGCAGTTATAAAAACAGACATGTAGGGTCAAGATTTTGAGGACTGCTTGTTTGTGAACAGGTGCTTTTGGATTAGTCAAAAAGATGCAGTCTGATAAAGAGAC